AGCCCGATGCTGCGGAGCTCATTGCCAACGTAGAGGCACCTCCGATCCCAAGAAGAAGGGGGGGGCTAGGACGGCTAGGACCTGTCAGGAACAAACGAACCCGAAGCTACCTATGATAAACTCTCTGATACCGTCGCCTAGGGACCACAGGAAGATACAAAGAATCGAGAGTAGGATGCCGGGTCGGAACCCCTCGGTCTCAAAGTTGTCTGCATCAAGACCGAGGAAGTTGTTGATGTCCTGCACCAAGCCTGCCTGCCGCGATTGGGGCGAAGCTGTGCTGTTTGGGGGGGGGGGGGGGGGGTTTATGCAGAGCGAGAGCTGAAGTCGGAACAACAAGGCTCCTTTGCCGGGCCTGGGTGTTTGAGAGAATCAAGCCCCCGTCATTGTTGCAAACGCGTGCGGTCAGGCTTGTCTTGGCCAGGTCCATGTACTTCCAGTCGTGTGCTGCACTGTTCCTCCACTCCTGGGCTACAGTCACTTGAGCTTCATCGAAGGGATCCCCCAGGAAAGATGGCGTAAGCAGGATCGCACAGAAGGCGATCTGCATCCCTGCGCTGGCAATCAGAAGCAACCAAGCAATCACCAGGTCAATCCAACCGACGCTCGCATGACCTGCGACCAGCACCAAGTTCCAGGTGGTCTCAAGGAAAGGAACCGGGTCCATCGTGTCGTCGAGCGCGGTGAATGTAGGATCTAGAACCTCCGCGTCTCCTTTCGCCCTCTGCGGCGGGCCATGTCCGAGCGCAGGCATTTGCGGCCGGTCCTCCATAGTCACCCGCACGAAGTGCGAAGTGCTCGCAATCGCTGCAGTGCCCTTGCCGCCGCCCTGCGCCAGCTCGACTTCGAGCCGATGTTCCAGAGCAGCCAATCTGGACAGGCACCTGCGTGTCACAAAGCAGCAACCAGCGCATTTTTGAACATCTACGGCTCTCTGCGCTGTCTTCAGCACTCCTTCAACACACGGAACAGGCGCAAGTAGCAAGGAACCCTGGACCCTTCCGCGACCACGGCACAACTCCAGCTTCGCATCCAGCTCTGAGCTGAACTCCTGGCGCAGTCGCCGCTCCAGGTTCGCGATGTTCTTCTCGAGTTTGGCTGCTGACATGGCGCGTGCTGCATCCAAAAAGCTCAGGCGTAAATCCACGGATGCTATCAACAAAACGATCTCAGTGATCAATGATATATTGATGTTTTATCTTCGCGTAAAGCCATACCTCTGGGAGCTCAGGGGACATCCCATAAACTCGGAGCTTAGTTGGAGGACAACTTCAGCATCTCCAGGCATCTCGATGATCGGGGTGGGCAGCAGCGAGTTGCAACCAATCCCGCTGCGCACGCCATCCTATTCCACCCCCCAAATCCGAGAATTCCAGCATTGAGGTTCAGAAAGGCCATGGATCTTGAAATGTGGCCTATTGCCAGAAAAAGGGGGGGGGGGTTCTTTGGCCCCAAGCGGGTCCCCGCGTTGAAGGAAGGAATGTTCGGCTCCGAGAGTTGGGAGAGTCGGGGCTTGGGGCTGAGAGCGCTTTGGGCCTTGGGCCTTGGGGGGGGGGGGGGGGGCCT